CACTCCACTTACTAATCTGCAAGATATTCATTCTGTGTAGGCAATGGAAATTCAGACTAAGAGGAAAGAAATAGGAAAAACCCATCCTAGAATCTGTAATGCTTCCTTGGCAGAAATGTTGCACTGCTGCCGTTATCTGAAATATTTATGAGTGAATATGATATTTCAGCATTGATCTGTATCAGCTACTTTGTTTCAAAACAGTTTTATGTCCTACTTCAGTTAGAGCTGACATCCTCAAGGGATTAAAATCAGGACTAGGAGTAGAACATTGTTCTATGCAACAAGTATCTCTCCAGGGAGTATTGATGCAATATGTCTGTTAATTAACCTCATATAAGATCTGCTTTGGGATTAGTGTAATGTAACTGCACTATTAGATCCTTAACCTTCTTTACTTTTGTGATGTTTTATGTAATATATGACAGTCCTTAGAAGATTTCTGAGCTAGATTTCCTTTGGTGAAAAGACAGTTTAGTATGCAAACCATTTCCCATGTCATCGTTCACGAGTAAGGCAATGTAAACAACCTAACTCTGAACTAGAAAAGCAGCTGGTGATTTTTACCTTGTTTTCATTCACTTGGTTTTATGATACAATTTATTTCACAATGAATCTTGTGTCAGATGTTATTTTCCTACAGTTCATCTTGATAATAATTGAAATTTTAATATTCTACAATAAAGCTTTCCTAGCTGAAATATGTACAGTCAGTATTTGAAATAGTTTGACTATTCAGTTCTGAATTTTTACCTGTCTAGTGTGCCTTTTTTGATGACTTCTTTTTGTACTGCATTCATCCTTTAATGTTTCAGATTTGTTTGCAAATTAGAATACTGCATAATGAAAAGTAAGGACATAAATACTACTTACGCTTGAGAAGTCTTGACAGAGAATAGGTTGATATGAATTTTATTATTTGATAAGTTTTAATTTTTTGTGGTCATTCTGGATTTTTAAAATTATTTACTATGAAAAGGAAAGGTTGTTCCTTTCATAACATGTTTAAAACTCTCTATATAGTGTAAGAAAATAAATAATAATACTGGTAATTTGTTTTGTCATGATTTCCTGCAAGAGGTAGTTCTGTTTGGAGTAGTTCTGCCAAGTCTACTGTTCAATCTACTATTTGCTGGGAATAATCCCAGCAAAATCAATAGCTCTAAAAAATGGAGTGCTTCAGATTAAGTATGCTGATGCTGTGATTAAGAAAACAATATGAAAACAGAAGCAGGTATGTAGAGCAAGTAGAAGTAGACTCAATAAGCTTAAACAATTTTAATTCTTTGGGACTTAATATATGCCAGTGAACATCATTCATACAGTGGCATCATTCATGCATATGCTGTACAGTGAACTACTTTTTTCACTTTCATATCCTGAAAGTGGAATTCCTATATTTGCTTCAGAACATGATTTACAATTTTACTGGTAATAACTTCAATGATAATTGAAAACTGTCATCAGAATATGCATTGTCGTCAGGACTGTCGGCTGTGGGCTCATACAGGAGCTTTATTTGCATAAAGAAAGATGAATAGGCTGATTTTCTAACAGATACACAACTTAGGGGGAAAAAAAAAAAATAATAAGTATTTATTTTCATTCTCAAATTATTTAGAAAAAAGTAAAACACTTAATAAGCTGTCAAAACTTTAGTTAATCTTACATTATTCTTAAGACTTGTACTTTTGCTGTGTACTATGGGAAGGTTACTTAATCTTGCTTAATTATTCTATATTTTCTTTTATAATTTGAGTGTTTAAGGTATTCTGCTGAGTAATGGCTATTTGCTTTGCTTTCCTGAAAGATATGGTTATAAATTTCCTGCTATTACATTATGCTATCAATGATACTTCAGGGGTTCTAGCTTTTGAGGGCATGCTATCAAATTTTGTTGTGTCAGTTTCATAAACGTATTTGTAAGAGTCATTGTATCCAGACACATAGTGTTGTTTGGGGGATTATAAACTAGATACTGATTCTTTAAATACTACATACATAAGAAATTTTATTCATTTATATAGGCCCCAGGAGTCACTCAAGTGTTTCTAGAATTGGATCCTTAGGTTTTATTTGGTTAACACCTCCGTGTTTTATTAAGCGTAGAATCATAGCCATGCTTTGATGTTGTTTAAATTTTAAAAACATTTACAGTAACACTAATTTTTAATATGCCCAAAGGTTTATTTTCAGTGAAATTATTCAACCTTGGAAAGTAATCAGGGCTGAAAGACAAATCAAATGCTGCTACTGCTTTGTTTGGATTTTAAATTTCATCTTACCGTAGCTGAAAGTTATATATCATAATCTTTCTCTGAATTTATTCTTATTCTCATGATAGTACTTTATTATTTCCAAAGTGCTTATGCTTGATACTTTTAAATCTCTTGAAAATTACTGTTTGCTGGAAGAGGTACTGCTTTGTTTATAATAAAATGATTACTGTTTGTCAGTAGCGAGTATGTGTGAAGTGCTCATAATAAGTATAAAATTTGGAAGTTACTGTTTTCCCAAAATTCATTAAATCCCTTTAGCTCCACTTCTAATGGGACTTCTGTCTGTCTGCTGCACAAACAAAAGTAATAGATATTCTAATAAATCTGTAGTAAAAAGAATAAGAGTGCTGACAAAAAATAGTTCTACTTTCATTAGGTATAAAACTTGAAAAGCAAACTTAAAGCAACTATTGAAATACTCTTCCATAATGAAAAAACAAAAGAACAAGCAGTGTAGACTTCTTAGAGACTGGGAAAGATACTACTGGTTCTTTCTTAGGACTCTGGAGTTCTGTAGTTTATTGTTAGATGATACGGGCCCCATTTTTCTGTTCAAAACAACTATTGATATTCTTCAACATAGTTATCCTGGAGAAGCTGGCAGCCCGTGGCTTGGACAGGTGTGCCCTTCACTGGGCAAAAAACTGGATGGATGGCCAGGCCCAGGGAGTGGTGGTGAATGGAATTAAATCCAGCTGGCAACTGGTCATTAGTAGTGTTTCCCGGGAGTCAGTGCTGGGGCCTGTCCTGTTTGATATCTTTACTGACAATTTGGACAAGGGGATTGAATGCACCATAAGTAAGTTTGCGGAGAACACTAAATAGGGAGGAAATGTTTCTCTGCCTGAGGGTAGGAATTTCTGCAGAGAGATCTGGATAGACTCAGTCGTTGATTGATGATTTCAGCAAGTACTGGTGAGGCTGTACCTTGAGTACTATGTTCAGTTTTGGGCTCTTCATTACAAGAAAGATATTGAGGCCCTGAAGCATGTCCAGCGAAGGTCAATGAAGCCAAAGAGGGGTCTGGAACACAAGTCTTATGGGGAGCAACTGAGAGAACTGAGGTTGTTCAATCTGCAGAAGAGGAGGCTCGAGGTAGACATCACTGCTCTGTACAACTTCCTGTAAGGAGGTTGTAATAAGGTGGAGGTCAGCCTCTTTTCCCACGTAATTGGTGATAGGACTAGAGGGAATGGCCTCAAGTTGCACCACGGGAAGTTCAGTTTGGACATGAGGAAAAAAATTATGTAATAGAGTGATTAGACACTGAAACAGGCTGCCCGGGGAGGTGGTGGAGTCACCATCCCTGGAGGTGTTTGAGAACCTTGTGGATGTGGCACTGAGGGACATGAGTTAGTGGGCATGGTGGTGATAGATTGATGGTTGGGCTAAGTGATCTTAGAGGTCTTTTCCACCTTAATGATTTTATGATTCAACTAAAGTCCATCCAGTGTATGTCTGTTCCTTGGAATGAATCTGACATCGTGAGAGCTCACTACAGAGCTGGTAAATAAGAAGCGGTCATGGTACATGGTAGTAGACATGGTAGTGGTCCAAAAACTCTTTATGGATCTAAGTTTTCCAGGTGCATATTCAATATTGGTGTCAGTATATGTACCCTACTATGGTAATGTACAATACTGAATTCATGTAGAGGGTCCAGGAATCCAACATCCTTTTTTCTGGATTTTGTTTCTGGATTTTCTGCTGTACATCATCAACTGCAGTATTCTTAGAGGTGTATTTTTGGGGGGCAAGATTCTGCCCTTTTTTCTGCTGCTGATGACATTTCCAGGTAGATGTCTTCAGGCTATGTGAAATTCTGCTGCCAAGGCTTCAGTCTAGATTTCTGAAAGCATGGTACTTAATTGATGTACGTAATAGAAAATTTGGTCTTGATCTTAAAGGATTTTTTCCAACATAAATGGTTCAGTCATTCTTTGAAATTAGTTGGGGATTGAGGAAGGGATTGTTTTGTCTTTAACGTTACAGGAAAACTCTCTTTAAGTCTGAAATTCAAACGTTTGCTTCTGGAATCACTTTTTTTTGTTATAATCTAATACACATTTCCATTCACCGCCTGTTGAGTATCTACAGATATGCCTAATTCACTTTCAGGTCCTTAGTTTATAGCTTGGAACTCATCCTTTGATCATCATAAAACACCTGTCATTTTAGCTTGAACTGTCATCGGTAATTCAGCATTGATGTGCACATAGCTGCATTCAGTAGATGCAGCTGCCCAGCTTCTAGTAGACAAATTGGTTCTGCTGTCCAGCAGCTAATGTAAAAAGTAATGACTTGACAGAAATATCAAGTCATGAACTGTATGAAGATGGCTTGAATGTGTGTCAGACCATGACCATTGCCATGCAGGATACAGACTCGTTCCTCCTGTGCTCACAGTCTGAACACAAAACAGCAAACCCTTATTAAGTTCCCTAATTATTTCCTATGGTTTCTGTATCACTGGCATCAAATTTCTCCAGAAGCATAAATTACTTGGTCACAATGTTTGCACACAAAAATGGGACTATGTAAGCAAGACAGCTAATTTTGGAACCACTGCAATTGAAATTAAACTGTGTGAAAGTTGGATTCTTAGTTGCAGGTAAAGCAAGTAAATTATGAAATCACCTGGCTTTTTTTTTTTTTTTTTTTTTTTTAAACACATCACTTCACTGAATTTTCTTTCTGTATTTTTTCTTTCCTTTCCTTTAGCAATGGTTGTTCTCAGCAATTTGGAACCAAATACGACATACGAAATCAAAGTAGCTGCTGTAAATGGAAAAGGGCAAGGAGAATATAGCAAAATCGAAATATTTCAGACTTTACCTGTCCGTGAGTAATACCTGTATGATTAAATGGAAATGTAAATACTTACATTCACTAGAATATGTTGCCTTCAGATCAGTTAATAATTTCCAGTATGATTTCCATGGATAATATGGTTCATAGATTGTTTCCCAGTGTATAGCATCAGTCTTCTCTACATTGTTTCTCAGAAATTGTGTTATGTTCTTCTTATCCTCTCCACTGAATAATATGGAGTATTTCTCCAGTTGTCTCTAGACAAGTCTTCATGTTACGTTCTACAGCACGAAGCATGAATGATACTAGATTAAGGATTTTTTCTCATTTACACACAGAATATTACAGACATCTGTGAGAAATGAATGGGCCCTTTCCAGAGACATTCCTCCAGCAAAAAACACTGCCACAAGTTTTGCAGCTATAATGCCTAAAAAAAAAACTGTAGACAAATAACAAGGAGACATTGTTTTAACTGTGATTACACAGAAATGACATATGATGCAAAGACATTTCTATGTTTGTGGTAAAACTTATTAGCAAGAAATCCTGATATTAAGATGAACGGATAATGAAAAATATTTTCCCCAAATCAGTTTTAAAAAGGCAAAATTATAAGTAAAGAACAGTAAAAATGTGGCAGCTACTGCAAAATATTTGTGTTGTTTTATTATATTCCCATTGACAAGGGTTTTCTGTCCAAAACAAGTCACTTGTCAGCTTTCAAACTTCTTTTGTTTAAAGCACGTGCATATTTTAAATATATTGCATGATATTGCTGTTATTCATACAGCACATTATACCTGATAGAAAAGTGATAGGATTTGACAGAACCAACACATACATTGCCTGATAGAAAACTAGGAAAATCACCATTGAGATTTAAATAGATTATTCTTTTCCTTAGCCAGAGATAAACGCAAATATAACTAATATTATAAATATTTTGAAATTAACAAGATACCTCTGCGTGAATGGAAATTTACATATATTTTGAGTTGGAGACAATTATGACATGTTCATTTAGGATATAAAACTTTACAATAGGCATTGCATAAAGAAATGATAGTTGGTCTGTGAAATATCATTAGAAAAGTAATTAAAGCTAGCTATTAACTCTTCAATTTTAAGTTTATTTTTGTCCTCCCATTGCAGAGAAAACTTTTTGCTTCTTGAAATCTTATTCTTCATGCTCATTCCTAGTAGTCTACTTTAAAAGTATCTAATTTTGTCATGGCACAGTTATTGAATTAATGGCTAAGTCATTTCTGATATAAATTACATTTGAAAATATTGAAGTCAGAAAGTCTCAAGGAAACTTAGACTTGCTTGATATAATTTTCTTTCATTGTGTGAAATAATCTAGTTTAGAACATACTTTAAACAAAACTTATGAAGGATGTTTTGCAATACTTGAAAGAATCGTGTTGATTTTAAAGATTTTGATCAATAATCTTACAGGTGAACTCCCATTTGTAATTTAAGGTTTCTGTCATTACATTTTTTGTGTTTTTTTTTAATTTATTTACTTTATTTTCTTTATTTAGGCGAGCCAAGCCCACCGTCAATTCATGGACAACCAGGAAGTGGAAAGAGTTTCAAACTTAGTATAACTAAACAAGATGATGGAGGTGCCCCCATTTTGGAATACATTGTCAAATACAGAAGTGTAAGTATTTCAGTGAATCAAAGTAGGTGGGATTTGCTTAGTAATATCTCTTGACATAGAGAAGATTGATAATATTATTTGAAATATTAAAAAAATGGTTTGTATAATAGAAAAAGAAAAGAAGAAAAATAATCTAAGATATAGTATAGTATGTTTTCTTTTGTGACTAGGTTACTAATGCCAGATTATTAAAAAGAAAGAAAAACAGAGAATGAAAGAAAAACACCCTGCTCCTCCTAAAGGTATAACTGAAAGTTCTTTCTAATAAGAAAACTCTTTTCTCTGTCTTGTTACATGGTAAATAAGGAACATTCACATTCAGCTCTCAAAGGTTCAGTCAATCAACAGACATTAAATTACGTAATTAAAAGATATTTGAAAAACACGTTTCATGTTACAGCTCTATCTGTACTGATAGATGGCATCCTGAAGATAGGATGCTGTATTCCAGTGTTCTATGTTCAGTTTAAAAGAAATTAATTAATCTTTCTATACTCCAAGGCTCATATTTAAAATATCGAAAGCCAAATCATTTACAAATTGCTGTGACTTTTGGAGTTTCAATGTACAGATCAGTTATTTAAGGCACATCGTGGAGAGTTCACTGGTCTTCTGTCGACTGGAGTCTCGTTTGTTGGTCTCTTGTAAAATCTGGCAAGTTTAGAATGCAGACTTGCTTGCAGTGTACAATTAATTTTTTTATGAAAAATATTCTATATTTTTGTCTATGAGAAGTGCATATATTTTATATTTAAGTAGCTAAAAGATAAATTAAAATAATTAAATAAATTGCATTGAAGAAGTACTTCTACAACTAGCAAAAGCAAGGAAATTAATTCAGAAGTGTTCATACTCTATTAAATTCTTTCTATTCTTTTAGAAAGGTTATACCATGCTTATTTGACCAGACCTAGTAAAAAAACATTTTAACAGAGTATAGTCACAGATTTATATGTCCACTTCAGGAGTCTAAAAGAGATTAGATGTATAACACCAGGTATTTAAACACATTTAACAGAAAATAGAGGACCATCTTTCGTAGAAATTAGAAAGCCTTGAGAGATCAAATGCAGAACCTGTTTTAGTACTCCCAGAAAGGATAAGTCAACACCTGATTTTGCAGTAATTTCTGTAATGTTCCCTGATGTTTTCTATAATATAACTTTTTGATAGTAGTTCTAGGATTATCCATGTGCTAAGACTGGCATGTAAAGTGATTTCTAAATCATTTGCTAAATAAATTTACAATCAAGGTGTGGATATTGTACATACATGTGATATGATAAGTTTTATCTATTTCTGTGATTTTGGTAATTTAAATGATTTTTTGGGTCTGTTGTGAATAACTTTGGAAACACGATTAACCCGGTGTTTTGACTAAGTACACCACTATAGAATAAAAGTTCACTTTTTGTGTTTATTGTTGAAAGATAAATGTACAGTTTAAGCACTAACTGAAAACATAATAGGTTACAGAAGGTGATAGCTTTTACTTGGAGCTGAAATCCATATCTCCCTATGCTTTCAATTGAAAAAGCAGTTTGATTAAATTAAAGGTCTTTCTACAACAAAAAAAGCACAGTGTTTTTTTGGTGTTTTAATCAGAATGAATGGATGCTATTTAAAGTTCTAAATCATTTGTTGACTGCTTCTCTTTTGTCTTGCCATTGGTCATATTTAATTGGCTCTCCTATAATTCTTGCCAGCCTCATTACTAGTGCCTGGACCAGTGAATTTGCTTGCAAGTATAAAGAGCATGTTAGATAACAAGTTACATATCAGTGGATTTCTTTTTTGTGTTTCATAGCAGTTCATGTCTTATTAAGGGACAGTTCCTTCAAACTTCAATTTTGTAAAGATTTTCTTGAAACAAGGAGTCGAACAGTCTTTAAGATATTGTAGAGTTATTATAGCCTAATCTTAGAACTGGTAAGTTTTATTTTTCTGAGGAAATCATCTGTTTCATTCTGCCAACTCTTGCTTTCTTAAGATTAATTAATTCTTATTATGCGAAGATGGTGCTAACTGTAACGAGGACCCACTCAACCTCTTCTCTCTTTCCCAGTTATGGCACTACTGTTTTTGGTTGGGGTACGCATGTCCAGGTGCTGGTGTTGTGCAATGGGCATTAAGCTTTATCCATGTCAATTACTGGGGAACTGTGTGCTGGATTTGTAAATGGCTGTTATCTGTTGTGCTGCCTACCAAGTACAAGAGTAGTGAACTAGGAGTTGGCCAGGAGTGTGGAACAGATGGTAGTATGGAGTTACAGTCTAAGATGAAGGGTGAGGAAATAAAGATCACATGGAAAAAATATTTTGGATACAAGGACTTACTGCCACAGCAACTTAGGACTGGTGGGTGAAAAGGCACATGTCTGCAAGAGAAAGACAGGCTACAAAGCAGCAAGTGGAAGGTATTAAGCAGGTTGAGACATCAGCAACAGCATGCCAACAAATCCTTATCACCATACAGGATTAGTAATTTACACTATTCACACAGTCACAAGCAAAAGTGCGTGCTTGTAGCTCGAGCATATTCTGACAGCAGAGGGTATTCTGAAGCTGGACATGTCACAGTTGTGAATTTGTGGTTGGTGCTTAATGTTCCCTGCAAATAAATGTCAGCATATTATTTTGAAGAGATCTGATCCAAGTCTTCAGTTATAAATTTGGTACCATGTCTTAAATTGAATTTCGTTTGTGCTTAAAAGAGAAGTTTTGAAACAGGCTTCTGAGTGATTGCAAAAGGGAATTCTGTTTCTGTAGTTCAAATCGCAGAATGCCAACAGTCAGATGAAGAAATTGCAGGAGGGGTTTCTCTTTCATTCCAGGTTTCAGTAGAAACTTAGAATTACAGTGAAGTAGTAAAAATATCCATATTTTATGCTTATATACTTTTAGGTAAAGCAAGAAAAAAAAACATATTTTGAGAAATAGTGTCTGCACAAAAATTCTTTTTTCCTGTAGCACACCTAACGATGTCTGGAGAATACACTACATGAGCAGTTAGCTTTTGCAGGCATAAAAGCTTTTGGGAGTGTTGACCTGTTACAGTGTTACTATTAATGCTTTGAATTTTGGTACTGGCAGTTGTATGATTTCTGTTTGTATGCTTCAGTCGTGTTTGATTATGTTGATGGATGACCATGTTCATTTTGTGGCCTTGTGATATGTTTTAGAAAAAAACTTGTAGAAGATGAATACAAATAATTTTAAAATAGAGAATTTCTCATTCATTCCTGCTATAAAACAGTTATGCGTTTTTATATCTCAGAGTTATGCATTACCTGCCAGATCCTTGATCTTTCTGTGCATTTTAGCACTATGTTTTCAGCCATTTTGTGCTTTGTTCAGCATTCATCTTGTATTATTACCTCTTCTAAAACATCACCCAGACCTATAAAGTACCATCCGTAGGTACTGAATTCTTGTGAAGTCACTGCTTTGAACTGTCAGATTGTCTTCCCTGAGAATTTCTTGATCTTTTTCCTGTGTGCTTTCAAGATAGTATGGCATCTCCTGCCCTTTTTTTTTGTTACAGTGACCAGCATAATAAGTCTTTCTGAGATGAATTTACTGTGCAAACAGTCTAGACTGGATGGAAAAAAGGAAGAATTGAAAGAGGTTAAATAGATTTTTTTCAAGTTTCCAGAGAAAGTAATCTTAGGTGCAATGTAATATGACCATTAAATGGGCAAATATTATTTTCTAGACTAGTAAATAGTTCAGTTCCCCAAAAAAGTGTTTGGCTTTACTTCTACCATTGTCAGATCTGGCCTCAGTTTTGAGAAGAAATCAATTAGATTGAAGTTCTGCTGTCATTTTTTAATGCTTTTTTTGTCAAGTAATTTAGGTGCTTAAGCTACTCCCAGGTGTCTTACAAATCTAGCTCTTAGATACTTAACAGAAAAATTTCATTAATTCTTACATTTAAATGCAGTATACAAGAAATAAGTATTAAGAAATAATTGTAATGTTTTGTGACTTTAATCTGAGGCATTGTAGCAGGTTTGTTTCAATCAAAGATTGGGGCAGGGACGAAAGCAGTGTGAGCTTAAGGTTTATAAGTAATGGCAGTGGGCAGTAAGATGTCCAGAAATTGCCAGTCATTGGTCAGTCTCACAGTGACAGTGACTTTTTGTAAAAAAGTATTTTGGAATTATAAGAACAAAACAAAATAGAAATGAGGGAACAGTTGAACCTCTGAGGTTGCAGATCTGATTCCAGTGTCTGAAATATCCAGTGTCTGGATTATCTAATGCATGTTAATGATAAAATTGTAAATGGTAAATAATGATTGAAGGCATTTACATTAGAGCACTCCTCAGCTTAGACTGAAGTTCACGATTTCAGAGTTCCTTGCATTTGTTATAAAACACCATGCATATTTGGAGCCTCCTATGAATTTTAAGCAATATTAATAATATAGAGTAGCCAAATAAAGTATGAAGTGATATTTCATAGTTCTATTTTCTGCTCCTTAGTCTACCAATTAAAGGGTCGTAGCATAAACAGGGAGATTTGTAGGAATATTTAACTGGCAAAATTTGTGTTCTCATCCCTTTCCAATCCTACTCTAATAGTAAAATTAATCTGGGCTCATTACTGATCTCCACTTTGTTAAACGTACTTGAAAATGAATGTGAAATAACAGCTAGAATGAAGGATATTGCCATCATTCTTAGTCTTTAAGATGCCAAAATTAGACTGTATTTTAGAAGACTTCCTCTTTTCACTACTGGAAGACTACCTTCATTCTTTTTCTTTCTTTCAGCTTGTGTTTGTTACTCTTGGTAAAATGCTTTGATGTCTTTGAGCTCAGTGCTTGGACTCTGCCTGTTTCATTTATCTCAATCCATCTAGTAGGCATCACTTTCAACTAGTCTTAAGGTGTCACTTCTCTGGCGGAGCACACAGATGTTCTGTTATGTTTCAGCTCTTTCATTGTTCTTTTCCTGACCAAACTGTGAAACAATTGCTTTGTCACCTAATGTTATGTTTGCAGAAGCAACCTTATATTTATATGAGCAGCTGGAATATTTATTTTCCATTTTGATATCTATGTTTTTCTTCTGTGAATCTGATTTTCTTTTGAATTGCTTAATGTGTTCATACAGCTCTGTGTGCATGCACTAAGATCACAAGTGCACCTTCTAATTTTCTCATGTTTATATTTTTTGGAAACTAGTTCTAATTTTTTCTAACTCTTCCCAAATTTCACAGATTTAAACAGCCTCTGAAATACGGCACTGTGCAACAATGCTGCTAGTATAATTACTACAGTGTATTTGTACATGCATGTTTGCAATCAGTATTAACTCTTAATATTTTATCAATGTTACGCAAAAATACAGATTGAAAAATTAGTATGATTTGAATATATGTAGAGATTCAATCAGTGGAATGTAAATATAAAGGGATTCATGCCGTAATATGTCAATAACGGACAGAGAAGTCACCTGTGAGGACTAACACTTTATTAGAAAATTAAAAAAAAATAATTGATGGAAAATACCATTTTCACTGTGTTGTGTAAACCATTTTTATTCCAGTGTATTTAGTATTTTTTCTTGATGTGTAACGTAACAACCATTCTGATGTTTTTTTATTGGTCTATGCTGCAGCCACTTTCACCTTGCTACAAACTTTTTTTATTTATTATTTTTAATTTTTTTTAATTTTAATTATCTCAGTACTACATTTGTGTTGATGAACTTGTAGAACAAAAGGTGAAGTCAGTATAGAGGACTCATCACACTCAGTGCTGATAGCAAATAAGTTATTGAAACAGTACATATAAGGTAGTTCAGAATTTCATTCTGTTTTCTGGAGGCTGATGACAAAAAGAATAGACATGGGCAACATGGCTGGGCTGTCAGCTTATCTAATTTAGATATTATTTTTTTGGACACTTCTATCAGTCAAGAACAAGATGCTTCAGTGAAGAGCCTAAATGTAAGCTACTGAAGGATGGTGGTCTATAGCAAAAAGCTGCACTTCTCTCTATTTGATTTTTTTTTTTTCTTTTAGAAAGCTATATCAATTGACTGCACTGCTGTGTGGGATGGGTGGTCAGGATTTGGCTCTCAGCCATGGTTTTTGTCAATGCCTTGTACTTCTGTGTTTAATAGGACTGCATGAATTCTTAATGTTACTGAAAATCCTTTGATTAAGATGGCTTACTATTTACCAATACACATTATTTTATTGTTTTACCTGTTAGTTATTTTTTAAATATCATTTTTATAAAGAGTAATTTAAATATATTATGCTTCAAAAATACTAAAAGAAAAGATTGCAAAGGTAAGTACTCCAAATTTATAAAATACCTTTTAAGGTAGCTGCCTGAGGCCTCATTTGTTCCCTCTGATGTCTTATAACTGTGTGAATTACTTGAACATTTTTTTCTGTATGATACCATCTGACTGATTTAAATGTATCCTCTCACCAGTGTAAACATAGAGCTGCATACTTTTTTAACAATGTTTATATTTTTGCTTACAGCTTCTTTTGCAAAATGGTACTGTGGTACTATATACTGCTACAGTTTATGTATTCGGTGTGTAACTAATGTATTACATAAGCACAGTTTGCATTTGTGAGCTATTCCTGCTACGGAATATGGTTTTGATGGGAAAATTCTCTTTAGGAACATTTGGCAAAATGTAATTGCAACACATCTGTATGAAATAAACTTTTACAAAAGTTAGTCTTAGCAAAATTTATACGTAACTGTCCTGCTGTTTCCTAAGTTGAAATGTGTATGTGTAGAAATTCAACCCAAAAGGTTGAAAAAAAGTTGCTGACAAAATCCCTACATCCACATGGTGGAATGATGAGGCATAGTCATAATCACAAAAAAACTGGGTACTCAGAACTCCAAAATTAGATGATTCAAAAGTTTATAACCTTTGGAAATTAATTTATGTAGGTTTTTTTTGCTTCATGTAGTCAGGTAGTTTAGACAAATAGTACAAGAGATTTTGAGAGTATAAACTAATGTTTGCATCTTTACAGAAAGATAAGGAAGACCAGTGGCTAGAGAAAAAAGTGCAGGGTAGTAGAGACCACATCATCTTAGAGCATCTTCAGTGGACCATGGGTTATGAAGTACAAATTACAGCTGCAAACAGACTGGGTTTTTCTGAACCAACATTGTACGAATTTAGCATGCCACCGAAGCCCAACATTATTACAGGTAAGTTGATTTTGGAGTGTTTTCTCTTTCTGAATTGTTCATACTTAGTACATTGTATGTTAATATGTGTAGTTGAATGGTCTGTTAGGGTAGCTGGAGTCTTCCTTAACTGACAAAGCTTGAGATTGCATACTTCGTTATCAGTAAAGAAAACTCAGTTAAAAATCCTTAAATGGGACTTTCCTTTTCTACTTTGCTCTTAGTAACGTTAAGCACCGAACAAACACTGAATCTTCAACTCAGATAATGATAGTTAAAAAGAAATATAATATTTAAGATGCATTTATTTTACAATTTCTAAGTTGTCTCTTACTCCATAAATGCCTGTTTTCAGTGATCTGTTAGAATTCTGTATTTCAGCCTAGTCTCTGCATATGCTTTGAGGAATACATGTAACAAGTGTACTACTTATTTTAGTGACTGATATGATTAAGACTTCAAGGAGAGTATTTTAGATACTGTCCTACTGTATAACAGTACTCAGTGATAGTACAGTGAGCATGCAGCCTTCTAATTGACCTATTTTCAAGCTTTGAAATAAGTAAATACATTGTTCATATTTATAAGTGTCTAAATAGGAGGATTTAGAACTTTTTAAAGGAAAACTGAATAGGAGGTAAGAGTGAGTGATTTTCAAGAGTGAGTAACTAATTCAAGTTTTAGTGCTTTTGAAGATATATTTTGGAGTAACAATGTAAATTATTTAATTCAGAATAAACACAAGTTGTGATTGTAATTTCTGATATTTTATGAGTAATTTTAGTTTTTATAAAGCAAACGATATGAAGCAAACGATATCTAACTTATCAATTAAGGTGCTGTAGAGAGTGTTGATTTGCTTCTTGATTGAGATTCAGGGCCTTTATAGGTCAGTGTACTTCTTTTTAAACTGAGTGTTTTATGGTTGCAGTCATTCAAATTATTACTCCAAGAAAATGATAATACTTATCAAGTAGAAAAATAGATAAAACATTACTTCGGTAAGACTTAAGTCTTTTTAATTTGCTCATTTGAATACCAGAACGTATCTTCTTTTGTACTGCAACTGATCTATAACCTATTACAGTTCTTTAAATTATTCCCCGTTATTGCCACAGCTGCTGTAAATGAGAATCATGAGATGCCTGTTTAAATTGTAACATAAATAGTTTCTGGATGTTGAAGTAAAAAGAGCCTTTTTTAATTTATCCTGAGAATATGGAACATTTTTCTCTGTATATAGCTTTATAGCTGTTACGGAGCTTTTTCCTTTCAGCACTCTCATATCCTCAAAATAGTTATAAGGAGAAATCCGTTACACTATTGAACATCAAGTCTCCTTTATATGAATCGTTATTGCAGTTATGATTGTGGAACTAATTAGTTTCCTTGACAACTGTTTTTGCGAAGTGAGAAAAGAGTGTGAAATTCTCATCATAAGAACATTCTGTAAGCAATTTTTAAAAATACGTCAAAAGATTCTTAAAATCAGTGGATATTAATATTCACATTAATGAGTCAGTATGGTTATCTGGTTGTGAAGTTGCATAATATTATACTCTTAATAATATTATTACAAAAGCAAAAATTAACTGTAATAGAAAAATGTATATAAAAAGTTCAAATTAAAGCAGATCAGTTCTTTCTGATACCAGTTAGTCAACTCAGATGATGCAAAATTTATTTGCTGTAAACCTCTTGTATGTAGGCATCTATAGCTGGGTCTAAAGAAGGAATAATCCAATTAGGCAAAATTTTGAATGAAATCTGCACCCCCTTTCCTGTGCTCTCTTAGCTGCTTGCGATTCTAATTCTTTATGTGGTTATTAGAAAAGTTTGTAAGACTCATGAATGTTTTCATCTGTATGTGTCCAGATCTGGCTGAACTGTTTTTGTCTTGCTCTTAATGTCATTCAGAAGCTATGTACCCAATCTCATGGGCATAGCAGGAGAATTTTGTGACTCCTGAATTATCCTCGTGGTCAGCTATACCTAATATAATATTACACTGCAAATCTGTACAAGCTAATATAAACCATCAGTGTTGTCCTCACCATTGAAATGGGTGTTATCACAAGAAATAAGACGTTGGTTCCTATTCCTGCAGAAAGAGCCTTATGCTCAAAGTGCTATTGGATATGTCAGAAGTCATCCCTTAGGGCAGGTACGGGAAGCTAAAAGTCTTTTTCAGTGAATGCGTAATTCCTGTGGGCACAGAACCCATGGCTTCAATTGGTTAGAGAAGTGTGAATGAGGACCAGTAGGTCCTGGCTGACAGTAAAATTTTATAATAAAACAATGTGATAATCTTCCACTGTTAGTCTTAACTGCAAATTGGCATCAGTTAGATGTGTAAATGATACTAACATTCCTTTAAATTTTCACACGATTGACCTTGGCAGCCTCCAACTAGCTATACTTCATTTTGTAATTTCTGTACCTAGGCCTATAAAACTGTCTCCATTCACTGAATCACTTACATTTGTGATTAGTTCCTCAGATTTTCTAATTCTTTTCATAAAATTTTCCAGGTTTTCCGAAAGGTTGGAATGTTGTACTGTTTTTGAGAAATACTCAGTGGATGGACTTGTTAAAATTTAATAAATGTATGTGTAAATACATTAATGTGTGTGTATGTATACATATATACATTACTCTAAATTTTAAACATATATATAATTTTACTTCCTACCTTTTTTTTATTTTTGTATTCAGAAATTCCATCTATTTGACGGCTTAAGTGTATGAGTATGTATTTAAGAATCACACTTTGAAGAAAGAGTGACATATTCTTAAGTGTAGTATTTTATGTATTCCAATATTTCAATAGGGTTGTTAGTTGTCAGTCTTTGTAGGGAGGTGCAACTCTAATATTAGTGTGCTTTCCCATGACTGAATTTTGAGCACTGAGTTGTGGTATTTTAGAAAATCTCGTTTCAATTTCTCTGTACTGTTATATCTTCTTCTAATTTTGTGGGAAAAAAATAAAAGCATGCTCAAAGAAACTGTGTCCTTAGCTCATAGCTATTTATCAGTCTTTGGACAGAATAACCTAGCCTCTGCAGCTATAACAAATTCTCTGAATAGGTGTCACTACAAGTAGATGAAGTCCATCAGCTTCTAGAGGTGACAGCACAGCCCATTTGTATGGCTCCATTTAATCTCTCTCAGCAGAGCAGAGATGCATACCCACTTATCTCGTACAGCTGGTATAAAAATGTCCAAGTCATAGCTGTCTTTCTGAAACGTTACTATTGAAACCTAAAAATACATCTGCAGTTCTATATTAAACAAATCTTAAACAAAGATAAAATGAATGATGTTAAAAGGGGATTATTTGTGCAAAAGTTAGATGTGTTTTCAGAAATTAGTGGCAAAGATTTATGTAGGTGCGGTCTTCCAAAGGCTTTTATCCAGTCATTGCTGTTTCTCTAGAAGTCCGGTATATATTAAAACTGGCTGCAAATTTTGTTTTATCCTAACCATTTTTCATCATCATTGTAGGTTAATAAATCGGTACAATAGTAGGAAAATCAAAAAGAATATGCAAACAGTAAGAAGGCCTTAGAACTTCTTTCTCTGTACTGTTTTTTTTAAAAAAAAAAAGCTTTAAATACTGCATAAACTTTTGGAATCTTCTTTTTATTAGAATCTCTGAAAAAATTTAAATCCCTTATGAACCCCGTGACTGTGATAGTACTGAACATATTTACTTTTTTGCTTTATATATCTGTCAATAATTCTTAAAATCATACAGTGACAGGTGAAGAGGGACAACCTAAAACGTAACATTTTCTCTCACCATCACTAGCAGCTAGGTTGATATTCTGCACCAAACATGGCTTTTATCAATAGTATTTAGAAAAATGGAGTGGTAGGATTTTTCAGTGGTCTCTTACTGAATGAAAAATGAAAATAGCTCATTCAAATACTATACGTATTTTATATATATATACATATTTGAATGTGTTTATGTTTATCTTAATATTACACAGTTATAATTGGGCTGTCAGAGTCTACGTCCAGTGGTTTATTAGAATATAAGCTAGGAAAATATACTTTTTACTCTGGAGACTGAAAATTTCTAAGTACAGAAAAATAGAAATAACTTTCTATGATGCCTGCAGTTTTCTTTCAGAGCATGTCCTTTTCTTTAATGTTGCTCTCAGCCAAACAGTTCAGTGACTTTTTGGTGTTGAAATAAATTCAAAATTATTCCATCTGGGTCACTGGGGAATGTTTTTGATCCTGTCATGCCCTTCTGCCAGAGAGCAGACTTTGTTGATCCAGGTGCTCTCTATGCCCCTCACGTTCCTTCAGTCTTGCCACTTGGAAAGGAAGAAGCACCCTGGGGCAAAATCTACCTTCCTCTGAAGGGAAGTATAGCCTAACTTTTCTCTAGAAGGTTTCCCGTGTCTCCTTTGGGTTAGTGATCACAGAATCACAGACTGGTTGAGGTTGTCGGGGATTTCTGAAGGTCATTTTATCCAAACCCTCTGCTTAAGTAGGGACAAGCAAGTGTCCCTTGATGTCTGTGTCCAGATAGTTTTTGGATGTCTCCAAGAACGAAAGCTACACAACCTCTGAGGGCATCCTTGTCCAGTGCTCAGTTATATTCATATTAGAAAGTCTTCTCCTTATGTTCAGAGAGTACCTCCTGTGTCTCAGTTTGTTCTCATTTCATATTGTTCTTCACTGAGAAGAGCTTTGCTCCATCTTCTTATGCCATTCCTGTAGGTGACTATACACATTCAGATCCCCTTGAGTCTTCTCTGTGCTGAACACATTCAGCTCTCTCAGTCTTTCCTCAGAGAATGATGTTCCAGTCCTTTGAATCCTCTTACAGGCCCTGTGCCGGACTCTTTCCAACAACTTCTTTTCCTTCATGTGCCTAGGATTAACTGCCCAATCATCTTCCCAGGGGTCAAGATGGGGCATGAATAGCATGCAAATCCCTTCAGCCCTTTCTGAAGATAGGAGTGTTATTTCCTTTCTTTCAGTCATGTCATAGAATCATAGAA